TGTATGTACACAAGGGTGGTGGCAGGGGGGCCGTTGCCCCACCTAGAAATATGTTGCCATATAAAGTCGATCACACGTTCATTATTATGACGCACTATTTCGCCTTAAAATGGATCTGAGTGGGATTTGTTTAGGTTTTTCATTGATCATATGCATAAGATATTTTTTAAATGTATCGTGCATTACTTTACCAAAATATTAATGCACGCAACTACACGAACAGCTGCTTGTATGTGTGTGTGTGTATGTATACTTAGTTGTCCCCAACTGTTTGATATTTTGTATTGTTCGTTCTGCCTGCATTTGTAAAATGCATATTTTGAAAATTCTTGAACGCAAAGTTGTAGATTTAGTTACGTAGATTACAGTCCCTAAATTTGAAATCGATCGGAAAAAATTTATAACGCAAACTTTTCATTTGAAAAGGTGAATAAATATTAAAACCCCAATAATTCAAGCTCCACCACAAATTTACCACCACAAAATCCGAGTACGCAGTTTTGTTTGTATTCTTTTATAGATTATAAAAATCAAATTTAAAGTGCATCGGTGCAGAAATGCAGAATTTTCAAACAAACTTTGGAGCTCGTTTTCCCCCCTTTGGAGCTTGAATTTTCCAAAATCCTTCTTATTGGGCACCTTCACTATGATAGGATCCTTAAGCCCAAATTTCAGCTTCATAGCTCTTGCCGTTTGGGCTGTGGGCTGTTGACGCGGTTTGTGCCCCATTTTTTTTTACAGGAAAAATCCCATATTTCAGTCCCCAACAAAAATTTCAAAAAATCTATACAGTTTTTCTTGGAATTTTTCTGAGAGTATACAAACTAATTTAATCAGATGAAAATTGTAGATTTTTCATACAAACGTTGGCGCCTGTTTTCCCCCTTTTGGAGTTCGAATTTTCCAAAATCCCTTCTTAGTGGGCACCTACACTATGAAAGGATACTTGAGTCCGAATTTCCGCTTCCTATCTTTTACCGTATGGGCTGTACGTTGATCACCAATCAGTCAGTCAAGACAAACTGTTTTATATACATATATGTATAGAGATAGGCTAATTTGCCAACTGACATTTTTACAGACAGAAGAATCTAAAATCTGAAATCGAAATTTAAGCTGCTACTCGCAAAGCAGCTAAAGAATATGAATTGAAATTCGATCACAGAGCGCACGAATGCGACAGCTCCCAGTCAGCTCATAGCCGAACAGCTCACAATTTTGATGGAACGTTTTCGTTGTATGAAATGAAACTTCTTTGTTGTAGGTTAGTGCCTGGGCCCTAGAGCTGCAAAATAATCGATGGCGACTGCATCGATCCTTCTAGATTTTTATGCGATTTTACCCAAACAAAAATCGATTAATCGTAAAGCTGAACAATATTAATTTTTATTGCCGTTTTCGATGAGCAGTGCAGCAATTTTAGTTTTTCCCCGCTAGATATGGCTTTTTTTAAATGCAAGTACGACAAAATTTCGAAAAAAACGGGGTCGGAATTCTAGCTTTTAAAAAATGTATTTAGGCTTTAGCTTTACACTATTTTACACCATATATTTTTTTAAATTATTTTTTTCAACACATAAAATCAATAATATAAGCAGTGATAAACGAGGTTCGAGCATAAGCTGTTTTTATAGCCTGTACCCAAAGGGTAAAAGGCTATACTAGTTTTGTGCGAATGTATGTAACATACAGAAGGAGGCGTGGCACACCCTAAAAAGTATATATATTATTGATCAGGATGACAAGTCAAGTCGATATACCCATGTCCGTCTGTCCGTCCGTCCGTCTGTCCGTCCGTCCGTCTGTATGAAAGCAAGGATCTCAGCAAGTACAAGAGCAAGAATAACCAAACTTGGTATCCACATTCTCCTAAGAACGAAAAAGGATGTGTCTGTGTTTTTTTTCTGATACACCCCATAACTTGCTGCTTTGGTTCAAGTTTGTACTGCATACATACACGCATATAAACACTTAGAGACACAATTCTCATGTAAATGTATACTGTTGAAACTGTACATGAACATGTCTCCACTCTTGTATATATGTATTGAATAATTTGTATTTAATTTAATTAAAAATTTTAATTAATATAGTTTGTTAAAATTAATTTAATTTTTTTTTTTAACTTTTTCCTTTTTGTTAAGATTTACAGGGTATTTAAGAGTTGAGCCTGCTCGACTTTAGCATTTCTTTCCTGTTTTTTATAAGTTTGTCTTTGCTGCGTTAAGAACTGTCTAAAGTGTATAAACAAAGTGTTCGCGAGGTTGGCTTGAAGATTTCGCATACCGTGATTCCGGCGGAAACAAACGGTTTCATAAGTTACCGTGGTCAAACGCAGAACTGGAGCGGATCTTCAGCCAGGTGAACTTATTTAAGTCCAAATTAAGAAATGGGATGAATTTAAATACTCTTAACTCCATTTTAATCGTAAGGTTAGTTTTAATATTATTATTTTAATATTAGTATTACTTTATTTTCAAATTAAGATACGGACTTAATCGTAACAACAAATGCTACTTCGAGTTTACATTGCCTCAAAAGTGGTTGCGAGCAGTAAGCAACCGGGTTTATTATCTTGACGAAGAGGCAGTGAGTTTAGATGAACTCATAATTCAACTACATAATTAACAAGTAAAAAAGCTAAAGTCTGTACATAAAATAGTTATAGAAATTTAAAAAATTAAGAAAATTAAAAAAAAAAAATGTTGATTTTACCTCTCTCGGTATTCGAACTCACGTAAAGGGTGTATAATTGCACATATACAAAGCAATTGCGTCTATATGAGTGTATGAATGTCTATGCGCGTCTATTCGTGTATGTGTAAACATGTTCGCAGTCAACCAAAGCATCAGCATCAACAACAGCTTCGGGCAGCGCTTGGTGAAACTTGGCATACAGACATATAATCACTAACTGGGGGTATTTTCCAAGTTTGAGCTAAAAATTCCAAGAATTACTGGAGTTACAATTTGTTGGAGAGATAGGGGAGGGAGGGGAATTAAAAAAAATACATTTTCTGCGTATTCACATAAGGGATCTTTGACTAAATTTTGGTGTTCCTAGGTTAAGACCTAAAAGTAGTCTCCGAGATATAGGCGATTATACGAATGGAAGAGATGCCTTATGCGTTATTTTTTGGATTTACACACGGGACACCCGACTTAGCTTCACTACTTATTTAATTAAATTAATTCATTTAATTTTGTTTTCAATAATTTTTTCGGTTTAATTTTCCTTTTTTGTGGAGAGTACAGGTTATTTTACTGTCGGGCTTGCTCAACTGTAGCGTTTTATCTTGTTATACTCTGTACATGAAATGTACAAGAGTATATTAGGATTGCGGGAGCTGAAAAATGTAACAGGCAGAAGGAGGCGTGGCAGACCCCACAAAGTATATATATTCTTGATCAGCGTGACAAGACGAGTAGATCTAGCCCGTCCATCCGTCTGTCCGTATGAACACCTGGATCTCAGAGACTATAAGAGGTAGAGACACCAAACTTTGCACAAAGATGCGTTATATGTGTACGCTGTGCAAGTTTGTTTTATTTTTTTTGATTTTCCCCCCACTTCCCCCCTATGGGGGTTTTCCCGATTTTCCATTCGTATAATCGCATATATCTCGGAGACTATAAGACCTACGGACACAAAATTTTAGTCCCAGATGCCTTATGTGAATACGCAGAAAATGTGTATTTTGGAATTTCCCTCCCTCCCCCATCTCCTCCGAAAATCTCTAACTCCCGTAATTCTTGGAATTTTAAATTGCAAATTTTGCAAATGCCTTCAGTTAGTTATTATGTGTCTGTATGCCAAGTTTCACTATGATAGACCGATTTAACAGGAAGCTATAGCCATAAATATATTTGCTGCCCAAGCGCTGCTTAAGCGCTGCCCAAGCGCAGCCCGCGGCTGTTGTTGATGTTGCTGTTTGGTTGACTGCTAACATGTTTACACAGACACGAATATACGAGCATATACATACATACACTCACATAGACGCAATTGCTTTGTATATGTGCAATTATACACCCTTTACGAGAGTTCGAATACCGAAAGAGGTAAAATCGATCAAAAACTTTTTTTGGAATTCTCTTACTTTTTTTAATTTCTATAATTATTGTAAACATATGTACAGAGTATTTCAAAGTCGGGACACCCGACTTTAGCTTTTTTACTTGTTACATTTGACTCACAAAATAAGACTTAGCAAAATGTGATGTTCGAAAAATTGCTGTATTGCTCGGTAGTTTTGGATTCTGTGTGTCAATTAGATGTTTGACGATACATCCATGTTTTTAAAAACAACTAATTGCTAATTTAATAATATTTACATAGGATATACAAAATATTGTTAATGCAGTTTTTTGAGAAAAGCTATATGGCTTTTGTTCTAATGATTATTTTTAAGTGGAAAAATGTCATTGTTTGTGACACATACGAGATTTTAAACCTCCCTAAAGGTTGTGGCCCTGAGATTTGGTTTTCAGGTGAAAATTGGTCCGAAGAGATTTCTGTGGCATCCCTGATTAAGAGCATTTTTAACAACAAATCATTCCACTCTTTGCCGTTACATTTTTTTAAGAATATAAGGTTTGGCCATACGCATACTTTTTAAATATTATATTTGTACAAAATGAAGATTGAATGTATATGTATGCAGATCAAATATACATTTTAGTAAAACATCAAAAATATCGTAATATGAATATACCTTCTCCTATACCGCACAACTAAACATGTAAAATGTTCGATATTTGATCAAACATCGATGAATCGACGATGCATCACAAACATAAAAACATCGATGCCTCGCGTGAAAAAACATCGCCGATTCTCAACACTTCGATGTGTTCTTACATCCCTACATTTTAGTACTAGTGATAAATCACGAATACGACTGGTAATCGCTCATAGCTCTAGCTCCAAAAAAAAATCGATGTTGGCAAAATCGAACCACTAGCTTGAATATATAGATATTAGATTTATTTAATTGTTTTGTTCAAATTCCGCATTAAGCTGAAGATTTGCAAATAAGGAGTATATACATATTTCATTCAAATTTGTTATGAATTTACCTCCAACATTACTTCAGCGATTAAGGCAACGAGGCCTTTTATTAAAGGACAATGGTAAATATCTTTAATCATAATAAATACATACGGATAAGTAAAGACATTGAATGTCTTTCATGATTGTTGAGTGAAATTGATTAAACACGACGTTAGTTGCATATATGTATGCATGTACATACATATGTATGTGTGTATATCAAAAATGTGTACCTTGCTAGCGGCGTGCATTGTGTATCAACTTGGTGCAAGTATACACTAATGTATGTTTGTTTGTACATATGTACATATGTAGTCATAGTCACAGCCTATTTCGTGCAGGTGCAAAAATATACTTTGAAATGCCATTACATGCAAAATATGAATAGCCAAAAAATTTAAACGCCAATTTGTTGATAACGAAATATACATATATGTATTTTAAAAGGGATTGCATTGTTTTCTATTATTATAATTTAAAAACAGGTAAAAAAGCTAGGCGATTATACGAATGGAAAATCAGGAAACCCCCATAAAGTGGGGGGAAAATCAAAAAAAAAAAAAAAAAAAAAAAAAAAACAAGGCATCTTTGTGCAAAAATTGGTGTCTCTATCTCTTATAGTCTCTGAGATCCAGGTGTTCATACGGACGGACAGACAGAGACACAGGGCTAGATCGACTCGTCTTGCCATGCTGATCAAGAATATATGTATATACTTTGTGGGGTCTGCCACACCTCCTTGGGTTCACTTAACACCGGCATATACCGGCGTATACAGTAAGTACACGATCGGGCCGACTACACTGGGGGGACTCCAGCTCTGTTGGAACATAAATAAGCTTCGTCCTCACCAACTCTCAAATAAATTAAGCTATGCTCAAGATAGAGTCGAATAAACTTATAAAAGGGAGATTGCAGCTGCATTTTAATCTTAAACAGCAGTTGGTCGTCCCAGACGCGGTCGAACGCTTGCTTAATGTCCAGAAATAGCAGCGCAGTATTCTTTCGCCTCGAAGGATTGCAGGATTTTCTCGACGAGACGGTGACACTGTTCCGGAGTGCCATGTCTTATCTTAAACCCAAATTGGTGTTCTGAGATAAGCCTCATCTCCTCGATCTTTGGCAGAGCTCGTCGTAAGAAAACTCTTTCAAGAATTTTGGAGAGCGCTGGCAATAAACTAATGGGCCGTTGCATGTTTCAAGATGTTCGGGTTTGCCAGGTTTGGGTATTAGAATAACTTCAGCACACTTCCATTGGCTGGGAAAATGGCCAAGAGACAGCCAGGCGTTAAAGATGTTAGCAAGCAGCGTCTAGCAGCGGTCTGGTAGTGGCTTGATGGTTGAGCCAGACGATCGTAGCCAGCGGCTTTTGACGACTGAAGGGCTTTGGTTTCGTTGGCGATTTCTCCACTGGTTACTTGCGGTATAGGTGGATCTATTGAACACGGCTCGTTCAAGTACTCACTAACGATAACATTGTCGTGAGCAGATGCTGACGGGAACGGCGAGAACGTATTGTGCAGATGGTCAGCAAACGCCACCGCCTTGTCGCGATTTGATCGACACCATAAACCATTAGCGTTTTGAATGGGCGCCAGCCTCTTGGTGGGTCTCTTTATGTAACGAGTTGCCTGTCACAGTACGGCTCTAGCTGACAGATGTATTCCTCCAGCGCCTGATTTTTCAGACTCTGCAACAAGAGTTTAAGGTGTTTGGCAGCTCTGTTGTAGGCAGTTTCGTCGATGGGGTGACGTGAGACGTTCCAGACACGTCAAAGCCTTCGTTTATCTTGTACCAGTTGTGCCACATCTGGGGACCAGAGATAACGCTCTCTTTTGCGGGTCCATTTTTCAAGAAGGTTTTGTTAAGAAATAAAACGTAATCATTGTTATAAAAATACATATTTAAAAAATAATAGTTATTAAGAAAAATATTAAACCTGTGTAAACCAAAAAATTTTTTTATAAGCGTCATATCTTAAAAGATATTCACATTTAAAGTTAAAATTTTTATATTTTTTGTGTGTACGCAGAGTTATGCGGGCGTGTACGTGTTTGTGTGTGTCTGTGTATGTCTCGTGTGCTTGTGGCGATTCTAATGGTTTCATGGCACACTTTCTTGCAGTTATTATACTCTGTACATGAAATGTACAAGAGTATATTAGGTTTGCGCAATCTGAAAAATGTAACAGACAGAAGGAGGCGTGGCAGACCCCACAAAGGATATATATTCTTGATCTGCAGGACAAGACGAGTCAATCTAGCACTGTCTGTCTGTCCGTATGAAGACCTGGATCTCAGAGACTATAAGAGCTAGAGACACCAAATTTTTATGTTTTGTTTGTAATATAAACCTTATAGTTTTTCTGAACAATTAACAAACAATTGACGCAACTCTTGTTTCAAACAAGTAAAAAAGCTAAAAATTAATAGAATTAAAAAAAGTATTGATCGATTTTTACCTCTCTCGGTATTCGAACTCACGTAAAGGGTGTATAAGTGCACATTTACAAACCAATTGTGTCATGTTAATGTATGTATCTTTATGCGCGTCTATTCGTGTTTGTGTGAGAATGTTTGCAGTCAACCAAACAGCAACATCAACAACAGCTGCCGGCAGCGCTTGGGCAGCAAATATATTTATGGCTATAACTTCTTGTTAAATAGGTCTATCATAGTGAAACTTGGCATACGGACACATAATCACTAACTGGAAGTATTTGAGTTCGAAATTCCAAGAATTACGGGAGTTACGATTTGCTGCGGAGAGGGGGGAGGGAGGGAAATTCCAAAATACACATTTTCTGCGTATTCACATAAGGCATCTTGGACTAAAATTTGTTGGCCCTAGGTCTCATAGTCTCCGAGATATATTTACTTATACGAACGGAAAACCGGGAAAACCCACATAGCTGGAAAGTGGGCGGAAAATCAATAAAATAGAACAAACTTGCACAGCGTACACACATAAGGCATTTTTGTGCAAAATTTGGTATCTCTAGCTCTTATAGTCTCTGAGATCTAGGTTTTCATACGGACAGACGGATGGACGGGCTAGATCGACTCGTCTTGTCATGCTGATCAAGAATATATATACTTTGTGGGGTCTGCCACGCCTCCTTCTACCTGTTACATTTTTCAGCTGGCGCAAACCTAATATACTCTTGTACATTTCATCTACAGAGTATAATAAGTACCACATAACTGTGTATTAATTAAACAAACTTGGCGAAAATTGTGTGTCGCCGATTGGGCAAGTCTTTTTGTTAGCGAAAATGTGAATGGCCCTAAACTACCATTTGAATATACAATACGGACTAGGGAAACAAAATGTATGTAAATTTTTTTATTTTTGAATTAAATTTCAAATGCTAATTTTTGCAAAACATAGATCGCCACAACAGGACGCAATTTTCGTCCGATTTATGAAAGTACATAATTGCGAAAAAATCGAAATGATGAAATGTAAAATAAATTTAATTTTTAATAAGCAACATTCTTTTGTGGGATCAGGTGCGCTTCTTAAACATTTGTTTTGTATTTTTTCAACAATAGCTCGCGGGCTAATATTAATGCAAATGGTATATTTGTTTTCTATTTAACATAGTACGTTACAGAATTTAAGTACAATTAGTCGGTCAAATGTACTTGTCGACAGTCAGCTGTTGCTAGCAGCTGAGTGCGTTACAGGATTTTTACAGAATTAGTCAGTCAAATGTGAGCGTCGACAGTCAGCTTTTGCTGACAGCTGGCTTGGATGGGAAGTTCGACAAAAATGAAATCTTTCGAAGTTCTGTGACACCGACGTATTTTTTAGGGGTTTTCAAAAACAACCAAATATATAATGCCCAAGCACTGCCCGCAGCTGTTGTTGTTGCTGCTGCAACTCCCTCAAAGTGACCGAACCGAAGTCAAATTTTCAAGGAATGAGTGCAAAGAAGATTAGAAAAAGTAGGGAAGCTAAAGTCGGGTGTCCCGACTTTGAAATACCCTGTAAATATGTTTAGAATAATTATACCTCTGTCGGTATTCGATCTCACGTAAAGGGTGTATAATTGCGTCTATGTGAGTGTATGCATGTCTATTCGTGTCTGTGTGAGCATGCTTGCAGTCAACCAAAGCACCAATATCAACAACAGCTGCGGGTAGCGCTTGAGCAGCAATTATATTTATGGCTATTACTTACATTACATTTTACACCTCCCGCAAAAAATTTATATACTCTTGTACATTTCATCTACATCATCCGATCAGTCGTTTTCGATTTGGCTGTCCCGTTAGTTTTTCTATGATCTTCTTTCAAGCAGTTTTTTATTTTTCAAAGAATTTATTGACAATGTTGTAAATGTCGTTGTTTTGTTTTCTTCATTTCTTTTACCCATAGCTTATACATATCTAAATAATAATTGATAAATAAAATGTTCCAAAATAATACCTTTGCATATTTATAAACTTTATGTTAAAGTTGAAATTTTGTGACTAAAATTAAACAATTTGTTGATATACTGTACATAAGTGGAGACATATGTTATGTTTCAACAGCATACATTTACATCAGAATCGCGTATATTCATGTTTATATCCGTGTATGTATGCAGCAAAAAGTTGAACCAAAGCAGCAACAACACCTACAGGCAGAGCAATAATAATTAACCTATCATGATGAAACTTGGCATACGGACACAAATACACTAACAGAATGCTATCAATTTTGAAAAATCACTAATAGCGGGGGAGTGGGGGGCTGTATCGGAAAAAACTCATACTCGTACTTTCTCGGACTTAGGAGAATCCGGATACCAAGTTTGGTTATTCTAGCTCTTGTACTGTCTGAGATGCTTACGTTCAAACAGACGGACGGACGGACATGGCTATATCGACTCGTCTAATCATCCTGATCAATAATATATATGCTTTGTGGGGTCTGCCACGCCTCCTGTGTGTTACATACATTCGCACAAAACTAGTATAGCCTATTACCCTTTGGGTACAGGCTATAACTACTCTGATACGTACCGAAAGCTAGGGCATATAGTACAATAAATAAATGGACTCGTAAGTTCATAAGATTTCACCTTGTT